ACACCTGACTTTGGATGGAGAGAGTCCAGATCTTACAGCATGGTCAACTCAAGCGGTCTACTCAACTCATGGACAACTCAACTCATGGTCTCCCTCAGCCGTGCAGCCCTGAAGGTCCAAGGCATCTCAATGGAAGTGTTGCTGAAACTAAGCTGTGGGCACAGCCTTTCTCCTCTGGCCTCTCACTCTGAATCCCTAATCAAGCCGATTGAGAGGGTGAGCTCCTCCTCTGGGCATATATGTCGCATTGCTCAGCTATGTGCAGGACTCTCCTCAAGCAGGGTGTCAGAGGTGGAGAAGAGCCAGCAGGAGCTTCTCCCTCCTTCTCCACACACACACACACACACACACACTGATTGCTCAAGTCTCCTGCTTCTATCATCTCCCTTCTGTTGACCGCTCCTCAGTGTCCCACCACCAAGTTCCGGGCTCAATGGTGTTATCTTCCCTGAGGGACTCTTGGGAGGCAGACTGCCACCCAGCCAGTTTGAGCCCTCACTGGAGAGCTCTTGAGCTGGTGGCTCCCAGCTCTCCTCCTCCTCCAACCAGGCCCTGACATCTATCCTGTACTAACTGCCAGTCAGCAAACCGCTCGTGAAAATCTCTTGAGATCTGTAGGTGGTGGTCAGTACAGTCACTCACATTCAAGAGGAGAACCGCCAAAGGTCCTTGGCACCCACAGAAGCTCCAGGCTAATCCATTAACCTAGTATCAAAAACGTCTCAGTAAAAAAAAGTGCCGTTTATCAAAGGCATCTCTCATTCTATTTATTTCAGATGCACTGAGAATTCAAATGAGTAGCTCATTTCAATCTACCTAAGGGCAAAGCAATCCTACCAAGCAACAGAAAAACAAACACACATCAAAAAAACCTTGTTTCTTAAAAGCCGGGAAAAGAGGCGGACTCTGGAGGTCAACCAATTAGAATTATTTCAAGGAGAAAGTTTAATCAAAAGGAAGGAGGGGGAAAGCTTTAGTAATATTCTCCACCTCAGACACATGTATTCGGCTAAGCTAATGCGGCTCGAGCAACTAATGCAATTTAAATGTACGCCAGATCCATTTTAATGCAGTCTTCGGGCAACCCCTCTTCCCTGACAGCCTTTGTCGTTAATGCAATCAAATTTATGTTACGTTGTGGCAGGGGAAAGTGGATGCTGATGGGAAGTAGGAATACTCAAAAATATTTTTCTGTCTTCAGATGTGGGGTTTGTCTTTTGAAAGCGCCCCCCCTTCCATCTTTCCCTCGCTCCCTTCTAAAAGTCAGGTGCCACTCTGCGGAAACGCATGGGGATTTGCCCATTAGCAACGAGAAAGGCATACACTTGTGTCACGGGAAGCACTGCCGTAAATTAGAGTCAAGGTTCATCACAAGGCAAGCTAATCCAATTCCAAAGGAGAGGGCTGTGAATGCGCCATAGCACAAAAGGATGAGAGGCACTTACCAGGCTACTGACAACACCATTATTTTAAAGGCTCTTTAAGCTAGGCCTTTGAGTGCATTCGTCGGTACAATAAATAGATTGTATAATCTTCAGCATAAAGACGCGGTATGAGCAAGGTAGCTCAAATCCATGGATGTGAAAGGTTTGCATCATATTTGTTGTTCTAATAATTTTTGGGCATCCATTCAAAGATGTCTTTGTGTGATGGGGTTTTAAAGCAAAATGGGGGCGGGAGAGGACAAAGAGAATAAAAAGGAGGTGCATTAGACAGCAAGGAGACCTACGCAGCAGCTGCTGTTAACATTTTGTGATTTACTGATATTTTAATCTATCTGAAGTTCTACCTATTGCTTTTCCTGTTGGAGGTAGACAACATGTAATTATGGAAAGCCAAAATCTGAGCACCTTGTTCTTATTATTTCATCTCATGTACAAAGTAAAACTGGATGACTCAATATTGCTCAGCTATCAGCTCATTCTTCCACGGCAAAAGAAAGCTATATTGATTTTTTTCAATAAAACATCTTAGGTTATCTTTTGTACCATGATATGGGTTACCTGAGCAGAAATGAGTCAGTTAAAGTAGACATAGATGCAAAGTGTGTGTCTTCTACTCCTAAGGATTTTGCAAAATTCTTACACAGGTATGCTTCTTATTCTTATTCTTAATTTTATTAGTATTAATTTTGTTATTTATTTATTAACTGCCTTTCACCAGCAGATGCCAAGGTTGGTTACAGCAATGTGGAAATCCAGAATTAAAAACAGTTTAAATATATTGCAGTCACAGGAATGGGGTGGGACTTGAAAACACACATCTAGGGTGCCAAAGGTCAGGGAAAAGAGGTACACCTTCAGCAGTCGCTGAAAGCTGTACAGTCATACCTTAGTTCTCGAACAGAATGTGTTCTGGGAGTCCGTTCAACTTCCAGAACCATTTGAAAACCAAGGCACGGCTTCTGATTGGCTGCAGGAGCATCCTGCAGCCAATCGGAAGCCGGGCAGGACGTCCAGCTGCCAAAAATCGTTCAAAAAGCGGAACACTCACTTCCAGTTTTCGATTGTTCAGGAGCTGAAACGTACGAGTTCTAAGGTGTTCAGCAACCAAGGTACAACTGTATAGGGAAAGCAGCAGATGCACCTGTGTGAAGAGGGCATTCTACAGCTTAGGGGCTACCACCAGTGGCAGAGCTTCATGCTCCAGCACTGGGAGGTGGAGAGCAGGTGGGGGCGTGGCTGGTGGTGGTGTCCTGGGGGCGCCCAGCGCGGGAGGGCAGCCACGATGGGACCCTACTGGGATCGTGGTGTTGGGAGCAGTGTGCTCCCCGCGCCCCGCTCTTCCTCCTCCAGTGGCTGCCACAGGAAAGGTCCTCTCCTGGGCCATCCCCACCAGCATTCTGAACTTCTCAAGGTGGAGCTACAAAGAAGGAACCCTTTGCTGATTTTAACACCCAGTGGGGACTGTAAGAACGGAGATATTCTTTCAGATATTTGGGGCCAAGTTATTTAGGGCTTTAAACACTAGCATGAGCACCTTAAACTAAGCCTAGAAATTAACTGGCAGCCAATACAGCTGTTTTAGAATAGGCATTATACAAGTTATAAAGGCAACCACAGCCAGTTTGCAAGCTCAGTTCAGAGGAGAGATATGGTCATTTGAGATGCTAAGTGTTGAAGCAAGATATTGCCTATGACAATCATTCTGCCAGGATAATCCCAAATGTTATAGCAAATTGTCCATCATCAATCTGGGATCTTGCTGGGGGGGGGGGCGGCACATGTGTGCAATTCATATAATTTCATTTTATATCCCTTCCCATTCAACATATGGAGTTGCTTAATTAAGCATACTTTTTAAAATGCTTTAGATTCCAAAGTTTGATTTCCATTTTTTTAGATCTAAAGCTGTCTCAACAGAAATATTCTCCTTTACACTGTGTGCAAAACAGTGCTTTTAAATAAGAGGTTGCACAGTGAGGCATGTTGAACAAAAGTTGCATAAATATAAAATATGTAAACTATGTGATCTTCTAAGCTAACGTTGATCAATGGTTTGGAATAAGCCATATTCATTTCCCCTTCTTCTTTGAGCAATATGCAACACTAGCTGAAGTACATAAAATTTGCCAAAATGGAGGTTGGAAGCAAATTGCTGCTAAAAGCATATGGAAGATGTAAATTTGGAACAACGTGTTCTGCAAATTTGCGCCTTAAAGAATCGCTACCTTAATGATTCTTCACAACTAGCTTTTTTCAAATTAATGCTTTAGTCAAGCAGCTTGGGCCATTCTAAGATGGGGATGGGAAATATTTCATTTGCACCCATCAATTGAGAGGTGGCCTTGGGAGATATCACAGGGTGAGAGACTGTGAGAAGCGAGGGATGAGCCCAGCTCAGAAATGGAAGGACACTCCTTCCTCTGTAGAGGATGGAAGTTAAGATATAGTGATGAAAGAGGGTCTTGTCGTTTCTTTCTTTTCTTCATTTCCTGTAGATTAGGTTTTTTCGTTTATTGCATTCTGAAAACTTCAATAAATTTCCCAAAGGCATTTGCATATGTGGTCATAGCCAGTGGATTTAATCTTCACCAATGGGAGGGGTGGTTCTGTCTAAGTTATGGTTCATTCCCAGTTTGGACCTATTTCCCATTACTGCAGACCCATTTAAATCAATGGGCTTCAGAAAGCCTGGGTGGTATAATGGGTATGGTGATAGAATAGGACCTGGGAAGCTAAAGTTTAAATCCTCAGTCCAGTGAACCTGAAGGAGCGTCTCCACTCCCATCATTCTGCCCGGACACTGGGGTCCAGCTCCAAGGGCCTTGTGGTACCTATTTATCTACTTGCACTTGGGGGTGCTTTTGAACTGTTAGGTGGGCAGGAGCTGGGACCGAAAGACGGGAGCTCACCCCGCCGCGGGGATTCGAACCGCCGACCATGCGATCGGCAAGTCCTAGGCACTGAGGTTTTACCCACAACGCCACCCGCGTCCCGAAGGATCACAATACTTGGTTATAATTTTTAACGTTACTTATTTGCCCATCTTTCTTTTTCACTCTGCTTATTAAGAAGCCTGTTATTGAATGCCTGGCATGTATCCCATAAATAATGTCTTTATTTAATGAGTGGTGTTGCCTAAGGCAATTTTATTTCATTGCCCACAGCAAGAAATGAAGGCACTTATGTCACCCTTTATATTTTAAAAATCCCCATTAGATCAGCTTATTTTTGAAGATGAAATGATGCCTTGCTTACACTTAATCCAATTTAACATTCAAGTCATTTGCGGCAAATTATTTCAAGGTAAAAATAGGTTAAGACAACTTTATATCATGGTAAAACACAGCAGAGCATTTATTGATTTGATTCTGATAAGAAAAGACACTCTGGATCAGACCAAGGATCTATCTCACCTTTCCTCAACCTGATACCCTCCAGATGTTTTGCGCTACAACCCTTGGAAGTGGTTCAGAATTATATATTTACATGGTATATTCTGTACAAGCATACAGACAACCAACCATTTGCTATAATCAAACTGTGGTTATTTCCTACCAGAATAAAATGATCCTGATGTTCCCTCTTTTCCAGAAAGCTCTGGCAGACTTCCCCCAGTCTGGATAAGGCTTGTCCTGAAGCATCATATCTGTGACCTGGAGTGAAGAAAGAGACAAAGAGACTAGTTCAAGCTGAGGTAGTTCAGTTACAGTCATACACAGAGGGGGGGGGGAGGGAGCGGGAGCGGGAGCAGGAGCGGGAGAGGGAGAGGGAGAGGGAGAGGGAGAGGGAGAGCTTGTAATGTATTTCAGTGATTTCAAATGATACATCAAAAATGCCCCAAGACAGGGGACAAAGTTGCACATGCAATTATGCAGTCCAGTGCTATGTGTGTTCACTCATAGATAAGTCCCAGAGAGGTAAATGGGGCGTTACAGTGGTACCTTGGGTTAAGTACTTAATTCATTCCGGAGGTCCGTTCTTAACCTGAAACTGTTCTTAACCTGAAGCATCACTTTAGCTAATGGGGCCTCCTGCTGCCACCGTGCCGCCAGAGCACAATTTCTGTTCTCATCCTGAAGCAAAGTTCTTAACCTGAAGCACTATTTCTGGGTTAGCGGGGACTGTAACCTGAAGCGTATGTAACCTGAGGTACCACTGTACTCATGAATGAGGGCCTGCCCATATCTCAGCTTAATGTGTGCTGTGAACCCCTTGTGTCTCCTTTAATCCCTCCTTGTCTACGCACCATTCTCCTCAAACTGCTGCCATCCCACACTTCCATTAAAAAAATTATTTTTATTGATTCTCCAATATCGTTCCAATAACAGCCTCATTATAACAATTCCAATTAATTTTATCCAATTAACACAATTACAAAAACCAATTATTAATATACCAAATAAAACAATTTAGCTAAAGTGGCCTCCTCAAGTGCTAGATTTGATGGCTCCCTCTTTGTTTTTCTTTTTCTTTTCTGCGTTCCAAAATCTTAAGAATTTCAATTACATTCCCTTCAAGATACTTTGTAAAATCGCTACAATCTTATGGTTTCAATTCATGTTAATATATTAAGTAATTTACAAAGTTTCAAGTAAGGCACTTAGTCTGTAATCATTGTTCTTTCCTGTGCGTGATAATTTTTTCTCCATGATGTTGTCCCAACCATATATGCTGTTGTGTCTTTCATTCTTCCGACTGTTGATATTTCCCATCATGACTTGGGGGAAGTGGTTGTGTCACAGTTTTCCAAAAGCCTCTGCGTCACTTCGTTCCATGATTGAAGAGCTTGTTAGAGACCCCTCTGTTCCAACAAATAAACTGTCCTCACCATTTTTTTTCCAACCTAGGAAGAACGATCTGATTCCAAACTGCCAATGATTAATAGGAAAACCTCTGACCTTGCAGCTGGCAGATACTTTTCCTCCTTTCAGCTGAAAATTTATAATCACTTATCTTTCCAGTTAGATTACATTCCAAATTGTCTCAGTCTCCTTCACATTCCTTTGAAAATAACGGAGAGTGGGGGTGGTTTTGTTCTATATTCCAAAATCTATATGAAGCCGCTGGGAGAGATCATCAGGGGGTTTGGGCTGGATGCTCATCAGTATGCAGATGATACCCAGCTCTCCCTCTCTTTCAAATTAGAACCAGTGAAGGAGGTGAAGGTCCTGTGTGAGTGCCTGGAGGCGATTGGAGGATGGATGGCAGCTGACAGATTGAGGTTGGATCCTGACAAGACAGAAGTACTGTTTTTGGGGGGACAGGGGGTGGGCGGGGGTGGGGGACTCCCTGGTCCTGAATGGGGCAACTGTGCAGGTGGGAGTCAGTTTGGACTCACAGCTGTCCATGGAGGTACAGGTCAATTCTGTGTCTAGGGCAGCTGTCCACCAGCTCCATCTGGTACGCAGGCTGAGACCCTGCCTGCCCACGGACTGTCTCACCAGAGTGGTGCATGCTCTGGTTATCTCCCACTTGGACTACTACAATGCGCTCTATGTGGGACTACCTTTAAAGGTGACCCAGAAACTTCAATTAATCCAGAATGCAGCAGCTAGCCTGGTGACTGGGAGTGGCCATTGAGACCACATAACACCGGTCTTGAAAAACCTACATTGGCTCCCAGTATGTTTCTGAGCACAATTCAAAGTGTTGGTGCTGACCTTTAAAGCCCTAAATGGCCTCGGCCCAGTATACCTGAAGGAGCGTATGGGACAGCTGCATATTCCTGCATTGCAGGGGGTTGCACTAGATCAGGCATAGGCAAACTTGGCCCTCCAGATGTTTTGGGACTACAACTCCCATCATCCCTGACCACTGGTCCTGTTAGCTAGGGATGATGGGAGATGTAGTCCCAAAACATCTGGAGGGTCGAGTTTGCCTATGCCAGGACTAGATGATCCTCAGGATCCCTTCCAACTCTGCAATTCCATGGTTGTTTAACCAGGATCCATTTGCACAGTCCCATTTGAATTTGGATGAAGCAAAACTTGCCCACGAGTTGTTCTTCGGTGTTGCTATTGCTGCTGGCACTATACGTGAGCAAATTATATCCCATTTGGCATGTGGAATGGAAGTAAGTGGCATGTGAAGTGGTTCCTAGAAGATGGGCAGAAGCAGCAATGAAACCTGCGCTTGTTGTGACCTGGTGCTGTTGTCCAATTTTGAATGGATGACCACTAGAGAAAGGGTTACTGGCCCCCAACCAATGAACTGGCAGAGTGAGAAGGCTTGATTACCATTTGACTAACTGTGTCACCAAGCACAGCAGCACAACAGAGGGGTAGCACGTAATCAACCGAGATCAAAAAGAATAGAAGCAATGGCTGAAAAATGGAATTCATTGAAAGTGTGGGGTTTCCTTTCATGGCGCACCTATCGATTCTCTTGCTTTTGATCTCTGTAGACATCAACATGGGTCCACTGTTGTAATTCTCTGTGAATGCTTCTCTGTGGAGAGAGGACCTTTTAAGTTCCCTGTTCTGCAGTCCTTTGAATTTTCCTACCACTGAGAGAATAATCCCTCTGCCTCTTTCACAAGAAAACTTTGGCTACATTTGCTTTCGCAGAGAAACTATAAAGCCTGCCATCCAGCTTAGAGACTGAGCAACTGCCGCTGCCTCGACATTTCTGCAGCTGTGTTATTTGGTTCCACCAAAATATTTCAGGGCCCGCTAAGTCTTGCCATGGAGGTTATATGCTATTGCTCCTAATGTATGAACCAGATCTCTGTCTCTAAGGACAGGTTTTCACAAAGCCTTTGACATGCAGGAAATTATGGAACTGTTTGAAGACATGTTTCTGCATAGCAAAAAAATGGAGTTTTGAATGCTTTAAAAAAATGCTTTGCCATACTTTAGTTTCCTGGATTGCAGGGGGCCAGACTTCCAACTCTACAATTCTATGGTGAATGCACAATGATATGTGACTTAAAAGGTTTGCTGCAACAGGCCCTAAGGAATGGCAAAATTCTTTGGATGTCATGGTGACTATAGTTCTATTGTTCTTTTCCTTAATTGCATGAGCAAAGAAGGCAGAGAAGGGTGTTAAAGATTGATTCAAGTGATCTAAAATATTCATAAAAAACCCATCTAAAAATATCGAGATCTATGATATGACAATTCTAGGCAGTTACTATGGAAAAGAAGCCTAAGAAATCCAGATTCTGGATCCATCATTTAGGAAGAGAATAGCCCTCTTAAAATCAATGTGCTATGTACATGCAACGTTCTAGTAACTCAAAATGTCAAAGTGGGCTTTGATTCCCAACCCACTGACTGCAGCAGAAATGCCACAACTGGAGTCTGCATTACTTCAGACTTTAGGAAGGCCATCTAAATTCAAGATGACTGATTTGCCACATATGACCATGAAGACATACACAATTCTGTTCCAATCTAACTTGGAAGTGGCATCTAGAGAAATCCTGGCTTGGTAGGCAAGACTGCAGTCCAAGCAAGTGAACCCGGAGAGTTCTCCCTAAAGAAGACCATATGCCACCTGTGATCTACTTTCCATTATTAATGCCAGTGAAAATTAAGCAGAGCAAAAAAGAAAGAAACCCACACAATGTTTTCTTCTTTAAAAAAAAATGTGGGGGATGAAAAAGCTAGTATTAATTTTTAATCTGTATATTTCAACAGACCATCTGTTAATCAGCTCCCAATTTATGGTTATTTAAGAAAAAGGGGGAGAGGAATTAGAAACAAGAATCAATATTAGCCAATCCTATTTGATTGCCTCATCCTTAGAATGCTCAAAAGCCATAAGATGAGAGACAACTTGTTTTGACATTGTAAATTAATGAGCATGAAATAGCCCACTCTTCTGGGCCTGAGTTCAGGGTTATAAACATGAGACTCTGGCTGCAATCTGCAACATACTTCCTGGGAGTAAATCCTATTGAACTCAGTGAGACTTGTTTCTGAGTTGACACTCATAGGATTGCATTCTTAAGTGTAAAATGATGAAAGCAACTCCTTTTGCAAAAAGAACAAAAGTGGAGTTAACTTGCAGATAAATACATTCACCTTTTCAGTTTTGAAATTCTAGCTGCTGGGTGATTATAAGAACTCCATGTTCTGTTGGACGTGGGGAAAACGTGTTCAAGTATCTGTAGCATTTAAGCATATATTAATAATGTAATGAATCAGGCATCTGTAGCTCATAAAGCACTCGCTGTGTTATGAGATCTAAAGAGGCACGTCTGCTTTTATCTCAGACTATCTGAGTCTAACTTCAGCTGACAGTGAACCTTAAACAATTTACACTGCCTTGATTCTCCTGTAGTCTCCCGCTGCCCTTAAGCTTAAAGAACCGTTTGGGGATAGGTTTCCACCATAACTGTCTGCCACCCAAAGCAATGCCCACTTGAATCTTCCCCACTAAGAACAATGCTGATGGACAAGCGCAATGGCACGATCATTGCTGACTGAAATTAATTATAAAACATGGCAGGGGAAGAAAACTGAGTTAATGAAGGTGGGCAAACCTTGTAGATGAAGAGTAAGGCTATTGCCATGCCTGAAAGTTGAAGCTAACCATGGTTGCATGTATTTGGTAGCTATGATAAATCTTCTAGCTCACCATCTCCCAGAAATGTTCAGTGGCATACAGGGATGGTCATTCGGTCAGTTTTGGCTTCTCTGGGTTTCTC